TTTCCCCGTTTGGTTGAGGACAACGTTCCCCTTACCCATCATTCCTCCTTGCCCAGCTATCCACATATCAGTGTAAAATGGAAGAAAATCTCAGATTCACTTGCCCTCTCTACCAATGGTATTGTTGAGAAATCTGTTTTGATGGAAAGGGAGATGAAAAATAAGACAAGTTTATCCCTCGTTAATTATGTATTCCATGGTCTGCTGTTTATCTCGAACTGAGTTTTCATTTTCCAACTTCTCGACTTCTAATGATCCTTGAAGCTGCTTTGCTTCTTGTTTTAAATGGAAGAATGATTCTTCGGTTTGTGCAATATTCTCGGTCAAACTCTTAATTTCCAATTCCAATTTCACTGTTTTCGTGTTTTTCTCTTCAATTTCTAGCTTTGTCAGGTATTCTGCATTCTTCAAGGCCTCATTAAGCGCACTAACCTTAACACATTTTCCCACTTGTTTTGAGAATGAGAAAGAGAAACACAGTGCACCTAATAAATCTTGCTCCATTGCTGTAGCCAGCTCCTCAAAGCGCTTTATAGTTCAATCTTTCTCATCTTTAATCTTCAAAAGAATCTCCCTCTCCTACTCAAGGGCTTTTTCTGCATCTAGTTGTGTAAGAATTGCATCTTCGAATTTGTTTTTCATGGACTCTTGCATCAAGCAGGCCATAGCTATATCTTTTTGAAGATCTTTTATGCAACAATCTTTCTCCTCTGCAATCTGAACAAGATCCTCTTTCTCTTGCTTATATCCCTACCTTTGCATATGGTTCAGCTGAACTTGGGGGGGACAGACGGAGACAACGATGGAATGAGTCAAACACGACAGCGAAAATGGATTATTGTGGTTCAAAGGATGTAATAAAACCAAGGTTTTTTTATGAGGATAGTTTCGTAATTTCATTAAAGTTTCCCATCAATATTTTATCTTCAACCAAACACACATCCAGAAATTTAATTCAATTTTCCTGGTAAAATTTTACCCAACCAAACGACTTTTTTAAAACTTTCCCATCTAACTCACTTTTCCTTCAGATCCCTGGTATTTACATTTTCCTACTATTAAAAAATTTCTCCCCAACCAAACACTACCCTAGTGACTAGAGAAATATTTTTCCCATAAAAATAGAATAAAGACAAAAAAATAGAAGAAAAAATAAGGTCAAAAACGTTAAAAATCACAACAGTGATGGAAAAGACTAAAATTAAAAAAAAAATTAGTCCAAATGAAAAAATAATAGTAAAGATGAAAGAATAGAAGAAAAAATTAAGATAAAAAATAAAACAAAAAGAAATAACAATTATGAGTTTTCCGTACGAGTTTATTTTTTCTGTAGTGAATGCAGATAAGTTATCTCCATTGAGCCCAAAATAATGTCGTTTCGGGAGTAAATGTAGATAATTTATCTATATCTATGTAGCACCGACACTGACACAGGACACGTGACACGACACGACACTCTGACACGTTAATTCTAAAAAATATTGGATTTTGACACGTTAGGACACGTTTTGATATTAAATAATATTTTTTTTTTTTTTGGAAATACATTAAATAATATTTTTAATTTATGTGGTGTATATTATATTTAATATTCAATAATTTAACAAAAAAAATGAAACTGAACTTATAATATTCATCAATTTTGCAAAGAAACATAAGATATCCCAAATATTTATATTAAACTCAATAAAATGATAATCGTAATCCAACGAATCTAATAGTTGAAACTAAAAACTCAATGCAACGTAACCTTTGAATCTTTTCTTGAATTTCTATAACGCGTGTTAGAGTGTCGAAGTGTCAGAAAGTGTCAAAAAGTGTCGGACACGACACATCAGGATTTTTGAAGTGTCAGTACTTCATAGATCTATATTCTCTATAGAAACATTAAAGTCTTTCAATATATTTGGTTTTCTTTTTCTTTTTTCTATTTTTTTTGTCCTTGATCTATTTTATTCTCTCTTTTTGGTGGAATATTTTATTCTTTTTTATTTAGATATGTTTGGTCTTTTTTCAATTTTTTTTTTCACTTTTTGGTCTATTTTATTCTGATTTTCTTCTACTTTTTTAGCCTTGTGAGTTGTGACACCAAATCTACTAAAGATTTTAGTAAAAAAATTAAAAAAAAAGAGAGAATAAAATAGAGATCTAAAATGGAATAAGATACATAAAGGATAAAAAAATAAAAAATAACGCCAAATATATTGAAAATTCGTAATTGTAAATTCTTTTTGTTCTGATTTTTTTATCTTAGTTTTTTTTTTCTATTTTTGTGTTCAGTATATATTTTTTCTTTTAGACTATTTTTGTTTTTTGTTTTTCCTATCACTCTTGTTATTTTTAACATATTTGATCTTATTTTTTCTTTTATTTTTTGTCTTTATTCTATTTTTTTATTTAGACACATTTGATCTTTTTTTTTCTTCTAATCTTTTATTAAGTATTCTAAGTTTTCATAACATTTGGTCTTTTTTTTTTCTTTTTTATCACTTTATTTTCTTCTTCTAAGAACGGTAAAGTAGGTATATCTAGTCAAGTTTCTAATAGTATTAAGGAAGGGGTGGATGGAAAAAATCATTGGGGGTTAAGTGATTAAAAAAAACATAGAGGTTAAGTGATTCAAAGCAATAGTACAAGATGTTTTGAACTTTTTCCATGTTTTAATATAAGTAAAAATTTAGTTACTACCTTTGCAAAATTTGTTGTCAAAGGATGTCATCAAATAAAGATTTTTTCACAATGATCATAACATAATAAAGTAGCTCTAGTGGAAAACCAAAAGTAGTGATGGAAAAATAATCTTAATACAAATACCTGCTCTTAATATGCTATATAGTTAAAGGAGATGATCCGTTTATAAACTTTTTTTACAAATTACACTAAGTATGATCGGTCATACACTCTTGATTAGTGTATGACCGGTCAGACATGGTGTAGTTTGTAAGAGTTTGTAAACAAAAAGTTTGTAAATATAATCTTCCCCATATTTAAAAGTTAAACCATTGATATTCTTCAACTACTATCGTTACAAAATTATTTTTACTTATTATTATTCTTAAAATTACCAAGATACATTGTATACTATTTGTTTCAATGCAAATTTGAATATACAACATGCTTAGACATCAATAAAAAAATTTATTTTTACTTATGAGTAGATGAAATTCTCTGTTAAAACTTATCCTGACTGAAAAATTCATTTTTACTTATGTTTATAATTTATTTAATATGTCTAAATATTTAAATTTATATTTTTTATTTTTAAATAGAAAAAAGTTTGATCCATGAGTCGGCACTAATCCAACCAGCTAAACTATAGGATTTTCAGGGTTAGGGCAAAAAAAAAGTCTTACCACAAAAAATTCCTAACGGATTAGAGCTAAGTATAGGGTTTTACACGATGGTCCGTGAACTTCAGCCCATTTTGACTACTCACTGCGTGGATCAGTCCTCCAAATTGGTTCCTACAATAAGCAATGGGCTCTTCTCCATAATCTTGTTTCCTAGCCTTTCTCTTTGTTTGGCCGAGGGGCCCATGCTCTTAAAACAATAATTTGCTCATAGGAACAATGAGTGTTTTCAGAGTGGATTGGCCTATACAAAAAGGTGGCTTTCATTGCGGGAGAGTTTATATTGCTCAACAGACAATGGTCATTATTCATTACATTTACAGGTTGCAAAACATACAATGGAATTAGGAAATAATGTTCGGTAAAAGTGTTAGTGGACCATAATATATAAATTTTTATTTGATGCATTTTGAAAATATAACAGAACATGGCGTGGAATTAACAAGGAAATATTTTAGTTTTACTGAAAGAATGAAATCAAAGAGAATGGAACAAATCATAACGTTCCATTTTGTTCTGTTCCCGCAATTAACATTAAAGATTTTCTAAATTACGCACTTAATGTTGGCCTTTCATAATTTTCGAAGTCGACGTTGAGTTTAACACACAATGTAGGGACGTTTCACATAGAACGAAGGGCACGACCAATTAATTAAATTGCTTAGCATGGAGAATCTGGCATGAGAGCAACATGTATATTTCCTTGGACCAATATTATTATCCATCAAAATAAAATGATAGGATGCACATACATGCGCGCCTGTAAGAGTGAAAATGTGAAATAGATCAATCATCAATTACAAACAAAACTGTAGCTCATTTAACGATCAATGCTAATTGGTGGATGATAGAGAAACAAAGTTGGAGATTCTGATGCTGTCAGTTCCAAGGGTACATCTTAGGCGCAAATACAGACAGAAAATTCATAGCTCAAATTTCATTGTAATTTATGAATAAAGTAAGCGTTCGCTTTTACTGTAGTTACTGCGTTAAGTTACATGCAGTAAGTCCAATATGACGTCGTTTTGGGGCAGAAATCATGGTATTTTTGTAATTTTATTTAATTTCAGGATTATTATAGTCATTATAATTATAATTTTTTAATATTTCAATCCTAAAACGACATCATTTTAGAAGGAAACGCAGATAACTTATCTGCATTAACTGCAGAGATATTTTTCTGATAAAGTAATTTCATGACTCATGAATAGGAAATTGGTTGCTAATCAGTCTAATTTACTTATTAAAGTAATGGTCTACAAGATTGATCTTGGAAGAAGGATGCCTCATAGGAAAGAACTTTAGGCTCTATTGTTGGATATTTCTCCACGTGTTCATTGATTAACGGACTAATCCAGTCAAGTCGGGCAGGACCACAATGGCGGCAAAACTCTTCCTACTAAATTTTTAACGCAACTACATATAGAGGACTCAAACTTTGAGACCACCTATTAAACTGGTACTCTAGACTCCCTAAATCCACAAATCACGGACATTAAACAAGCTTTTTTGTTTAATCAGGAATTCAGGATCATTCCCCCTCAGTTTACTACCTATATAATCTCAACTTCTATCACTTTTTATAGAACAACAATTTCCAGCTATATACTTTCCCTGCTTAATAATATCCCTTTTATTGACAAAGAAATTATGGCATTTTCATTCATACTTATGTTGCAGTTCTTGCTTCTTGCCCCAACTTTGATCTCTCCTTCTCCAGTTCAAGATCCTGAATCAGTGGTCCAGGAAGTACAGAAGTATGTTATGCAGTACTTGTTTACGACATCTTCCTCCCCCCTCCCTCATGGGGACCTAACCATATGTCAGTTTGAAACACTATAAAATGTTCTACTTTCTACCCAAACTATGTTCTATCTTTTTCTACCAAAACTCTTGTGTTGAAAAACAGAAAGATCTTGTATCTTTAGTTTTAATTCATTTTTCTTCTTTTCCACATAAACAACATCTAGCTAGCATCCCAATTGGTTTGTACTATTTTAGTGCAGTCCATTATCACATAAACACTTGCTAATTTGTATGAACATCAAAGAATAATTGCAACAAAATATTTTGAATGATAAACATCCATTAAGGAATAAAATGGTTTGCAGTTGAAAAATCAACCGCGAAAAAAAAAATGCTATGACGAAACATATATTAGTGATCACAACTTCTTGTCAATAGCAGCACTTAAATAGATGAAACATATATTTTGGGACCACAACCTTTTATTACGATGTAACATGTGTCAGTGACCATAGCACATTTGCATTCTTTGTTTTGTAGGAGCATCAATGAGCAAAGGAGAAATTTGGGTTTCTATTCTTGTGGAACTGGCAACCCCATTGATGATTGTTGGAGATGTGACCCCAACTGGGAAAGGAACCGCAAGAGTCTAGCCGATTGTGCTATTGGGTTTGGCAAAAATGCCATTGGTGGCAGAGATGGCAAAGTATATATGGTCACTGACCCAAATGATCACCCTTTGAACCCAGAGCCAGGTACTCTAAGATTTGGTGTTATCCAAGAAGAGCCTTTGTGGATCATTTTCAAACATGACATGGTTATCAAGCTAGACATGGATCTTCTTATGAATTCTTACAAAACCATTGATGGACGAGGAACAAATGTCCACATTGCTGGAGGGCCTTGCATTAAAGTACAACACAAGACCAACATCATAATTCATGGCTTGCACATCCATGATTGCAAACGAGGTGGCAGTGGCTACGTGAGTGACTCTCCTAGCCATCGTAGATGGAGATCAAGATCGGATGGTGATGGGGTAACAATCTTTGGTGGGAGCCATGTTTGGGTGGACCATTGCTCCTTATCAAATTGTTATGATGGCCTAATTGATGTTGTTCATGGGTCAACGGCTATCACTATTTCCAACAATTACATGACACACCATAACAAAGTTATGCTATTGGGCCACAGTGATTCCTATAAAGGGGACAAGAATATGCAAGTTACCATAGCCTTCAACCATTTTGGAGAAGGACTTGGAGGAAGAATGCCAAGGTACTTTGTTCTCTACCTAAAGATAAGCCTTATTTACCTTGTGCTATTCTTTTCTCAATGGAAAATAAAGTAGCTTGAATAAGGATGTACAAAATAATCAAAAAATTGAACCAAACCGAACTTCACTTAAAATATCTGGTTTTTTAAAAATCGGTTCATGAACCGAACCAATATGTATGGAACCATTTCATGAACCGAACTGGTTTTTAAAACCAGTTCAAGAACCAAACCGAACCGAACCATTTTCGAATCGAACCAAACCGTTTTCGAACCGAACTGAACCGCTTTTTATTACTTTTATTTTTTTATTTTACTTTTCAGAAGGAGGTCGACCCGAACCGATTCCAAATCGAACCGAACCGAATCGGTTTTGAACTAAACTGAACCGTTTTCAAACCGAACAGTTTAAATCAATTCGGTTCGATTTTTCAAAAAAATTCAGTTCAATTCGACCTAAATTTGAATAGTTTCTTAGTTCCTACCCATGTACTGCAGATGCAGGTATGGATACTTCCATGTGGTGAATAATGATTACACCCATTGGCAACATTACGCAATAGGTGGGAGTTCATCCCCAACTATTTTCAGCCAAGGCAACAGATTTCTTGCTCCAGATGATGAATACCACAAAGAGGTCAGAGACACATAAACAATTAATTTATTTATTAGATGCTAACAATAAATGTAGTTGAGTTACATAATAAACATGATGTGTAGAATAGTTGGCCTTCCATAGTATTATTAATAAATTGAAATGGTCATTGGATGATTTCAGGTCACCAAACACTTTCGTTCATCAGATAGTATGTGGAAGAAATGGAATTGGAGGTCTGAAGGAGATTTAATGTTGAATGGTGCCTTCTTCACACCATCTGGAGCTGGAGCATCTTCTATGTATGATAAGGCATCAAGCATGGCAGCACGACCACCTACACTTGTTCCTTCAATAACAGAAGGAGCTGGAGTGCTTAGATGCGTAAAGGGCTACCTCTGCTAGTATTGGTTGCGCTAAGAAAACAATTGATCATAAGTATGGTCCAAGTTTTTGTCATACCAAAATATTCAGTTTTCTAGTGAAAATGTGGAATACTATATATCAGCTGCAACGTCCAATCCCATGAAGGGACAATGAAGGATAGAAGTGTGCTGTAGAGTAAGAAAGTAAAACATAGATTATTAGTGCAAATGTTTTTGTTGTCTCTAATGAGGAATTTGGAGTAATCTCCGTAGTCCATAACTTGAATTCATGTGCGTAATAGGCTACAAACGTTGCATCTAAATATGACTAACTTTCACACTACGCTTTAATACACTTATAATTGCTCCACTTCTTGTCTTTGGACTTTGGGCACTCATGACACAAGCCGAAACCAGGAAACTCTGTATTACATATACACCGGATGCCTTAACTTCTTATAATTTGTAATTAATAAACTCCATCAGTTGCAATTAATTTTTCAATAATTTCCTAAAGAGAATAACTGATTAAGCGACAATATTATACACACCCGTCAGACATGCACCATATTCATAACTTCACGAAACTTTCGCCTGCCAAAACCAGTTAAACAATCATTTTACAAGAGACCAAAACCTCAGCCAACAAACGTTATATTTTTTTTATTATCAATTACTCCCCTGTGATTTTATTTCACCCAAATCCACAATTAACATTGTTAGTAATTGAACTAACTTATCCATTTTACTCCTATAAGAAAATTTAATGCTTGGTTCACCATTGAATTGGTTACTTTCTTGCAGCTGGTACAAACTAAAAATACGTATCTACTTCACTAGCTGTTTTAATTTGATGCTTGAGATTAGTTTATGGACACTATTTCATCAAGTATTTTGTGTTTCATGTAAATATTCCGAATGCGCAGTGATTTCTTTTCCTTTCTCAATAATTTTCTGCTAAATGTGAATAGCAATCCCTCCCGTAAGTAGTGCTCTTTTCTCCAAGTGATGAATGATAGTCACTTATTAGACTTTGCTCCTTCTTGCTGATATCTACAGTTTGCTCCTTAAGAGCTTTCGTGTCATCGATTTCAAGCTTGTGAAGTAGACCAAAATTTGATCCCAGAACATTAGGCATCACATACAGATGGTCACGAATGACAAAATAGCAGTTTCCTTAACAAAGCCATTTTCTGGAATAAAATTTGTTGGGACCACTATTTTGTTCATTAGTTTTCCACAATGTCATCTTTGATTCCTGAAAGTGCTCAAAAGGCTCCCGCGTGGCTTTCTACTACAATCCCAATTATAGTAAGTACTTCATAGGGTCCGTGTCATCTATGTTCAGTTTCAGCTGTTGGCAATAAGCATCTGCCACACTTTCATACAATGAGCTCATGATGCCAAGTTTCACTGGTTGCATATTTAACTACCTACCAACAACGAGTATTAGCAAAAGTCCCTATAGGCATTCTTAAGAAGCTCAAAAGAGCGTCAACAAAATCACGAAGCCAGCTGTAGAAAAGCCAGTTAAAAACATTATGACTTAAGACTATTCAATAATATAAAACATACAGATCCAGATTGGTTCAATCATCCAAGAAAAGAAAAAAGGACATACTTTCAGTTTGGTGAATGTCCTCTAAGGGTCACCAACAACATAATACTTGTTCCCCAATGCCCATGTTAAAATAAGGATAAAATTGACAATTTAATTCAATTACTAACAGTGTTAAATCTGAAATTGGCTGGAATAAAACCACAGGGATAATTGATATAAGAAAAAAAACCATAGGAATATAACTGATAGAAGAGTAAACCACATGGGGATATTTATGAAATTTTCCCCATAACAAATGCATCAAACAAAAGAACAATCACCCAACTCCAATATAAAATCGTGCCAAAATCTTACATATAGTTTCTTCAAGTGAACATACGGACTCTGAACAAAACCAAACTAACCGAACAAAATACTATCAGATATTCAGCATCTTGATAACATTTGAGTTTAAAACTAAAAAACAAAAATCAGTATTCCGATGAGGAAATAACATCATCAATTTTAAGTATCATCTTGACAACTTGAGTAGCGAGTAAGATCTGTTGCTCCTTGCCAATCAAAGTTTCAAAGACATCTTGCTCACGCATGTCATTAGTGCCAACATCATTGCAATCAATGCCAAAGTGAGGATTATTATCCTGAAGACAGAATTTCGGTCAGAGCAATAGTATACAGAAAAGTAAATACACAACAATCACAGATATATATAACATAGTCCGAGCCCAAGAGTGTAGTAACCAAGCTCAAAGCAGTCATCATGTTCACATTATTACCTTTATTTGCTGAGACTTCACAGCAGATACCGTTTCAATTGGTTGGAGGCCACTATTTTCAGCAAGGGCCATAGGGATAGCCTCCAAAGCATCCCCAAATGCTCTTATAGCATACTGCAGGGAAAAGAAATATCAGCAATCAACAAAATTTTGGGAATAACCAAATAATACTAAATTAATATCCAATACCTGTTCTACTCCAGGGTATTTATCAGCAGCTGACTCCACAGCAATCGAGCAGGAAATCTCAGCTGAACCACCACCATATACAATAGAATTGTTGCGGATGAGATTCCTAGCAACACACAAGGCATCATGAAGGCTGCGCTTTGTCTCCTCTATGATCATTTTGTTACCTACCAAACAAGACAGCTTCTATTAATTTTGACATTATCAGTCTTCAAAGCTCCACAAAAAATCCATGAATTGATAGTCACAAGGCCATTAATAGAGGCAATATTTGAAAGAAGTTTATAATTCACACTCCGAAGCAGTGAAGTAGTAAATACATTATTAAACAGTGCAATATTAAAATTATCTTTCTCCAAAAAGGCAACTAATTATAAAAAATCCAATGCAAACCATTTAAATGAAGGTCAAGCAGTACATGTCCTCACCTCCACGAATAAAAATTGTTACAGCCCTTGAGTTTGCACAATGCTCAATGTACAACATTCTGTCTTTTGTTGTACCAAAGGATTTTTCTCGAACCAAACCAGCCTTAAAACAAAATAGATCACAAATTAATGTTACTTGTTGTCAAATGTACAAATAGACGGAGCATGAGAATCTTTAGTGTACAGCATGCCACCCCAACAAAGGATACAGGAAGAATGTTACCACAGCTACATGTTCTAAATTACTAACCCCACAATTGCATGTGAATTAAAAATGACAACAGACCCAAAAAAATTAATTTACAGGTCTTAAAAACCCCAAAAAAAAATCAAGAGTTAGATGATACCTTTCCCAACTTTTCTGGAGTTAACTCCTGGAACCTAGGAACAATTCTTCCACCTGTATTGACAAACAGATCATCATCACTTTATTAATAGGCATAGAAAAATATCTTAGCAACAGACTACGGTCAGAACTCATATAATATACAGTTGTAAAAAGAACCTACAAACTTTCCAAGCATATGAAGTTTAATTCAAACATACCTGTTGCTATAGCTATCAATTCCAACTCCACACCACCAACCCATCTAACAGCTGGCAAGTTCCTGTGCATTAAGAGATGATTTGCTTCATCATCAAAACCCCATTGGCAGATAACAAGGGTAGCACCCACATCCTGCAAATCAATAAAATAGTCCCTTTGCAATAAATCAAAACACATTCAAACCATTATTCCAGCCTAATAAATCTCAGTTTGTCAAAACAGAAAAATAACGCAAAAAAAAGAAAAAAAAAAGAATTGGAAGTTACAAGAAATTCAAAAGCAGAAAAGGCCTCTGATTTGTCAAGGTATTTTGCCCCACAAGCTGAAAACTATTTGGGTCGGGTTGCTACTACATAGACAACTTTAAAAAAAAAAAAAAAAAAATTGTACTTTTTAATCCTTTTCCCGTTTAAGAAAAATGTCCACATATTTATGGAAGTTATCTACTTTGTGCGTAAGGACCCTTTTTTTTTTTTCCTTTTCGGAATGGCCAAAACAACGTGCAATTTTTTGGACAACCGTTAGAAATTTGCTAAAAAAATGACATGTGGTTTTTGAACAGAACAAAACGACATGTCGTTGATAGCTTCTGCAACCTTCAGCCAGGTCAACCCAACAAATCAAAATCCTTTATTTTATATATATATCTATACATTACAGGTTGTGGATAGCAGTAGGAGAAATAGTACATACACTAGAGGTTGTGGATCCTTACATAACACAGTATAAGTCATTCGATTGTATTATTTTATATATCTGATACCAGCATGCATGTTGACACACACACAGAGAGAGAGAGAGAGAATCTACTCATATTGAAGTGTGAACTTCAGTTTGGCCATTATTGTGGTCTTAAGACTGTTTGGGAGCTTTAAATAGGTGGGAAATGTACGAAATTTATTAGGCTGGAATAATGGTTTGTTAACTGAGATTTCTCAGTTGTAAGGGTAGTTCCCTTGTATGAGATACTCTCCTTGTATTCTCTCTCTCCATAAAAATATGTAAAAGTCGCTGTAGTTTAATCGAAAAGCCCAGATCCCTATCAACAAAACATTAATTTCAACTGTCACAGATTGTTTAAAATAAAGATCGTTAAAAGTAGGGTGACTAATAAATCGATTTATGAGATTCATCATGCCCAGATCCATTTCCAGCCTAATAAATCTCACTTCACTATGCAACAGCCTAATAAACACATTCAAACAAGCTCATACACCAGCTAAAAGAAGGGTGACTAAGCATTTAAATTTGAAGGTTGGTAGAAAAAAGCAAATTGACGTGTCATAAATTATTAAAAGAAAATTTATGAGACTCTCAACGAAATCCCACCTTGCATTGCTGAACCATATCATCAAAATACTTCTGTTCTTGCTTCCTTAACGTCTGGAACTTCTCCACCGTATCAATATCAACCTTATGCTTAGTCTTTGGTTTCGGGGGCTCAAAGGGGCAAGTCAAGATAGCAATTTTAGCATCTTCAATTTGCTTTGGCATTTGGGGATGGCTCATATCCTTGTCAACAAGGATTCCATAAATTAACTCAGTATCTTCCAATTTACCACCAACTTTCCCTTCCACTTTAATCAAATCCAAGTTAACATCTTTTCTCTCCAGATCAGCAACAGCAAGAACAGCTTTGACAGCAATCTCAGCCAAGCTACGCTTACACCGATTCACACTGCAACACAAAAAGACGAAAAATTATAAAACTATAAACATCATCAAAACAAGGTACATGATTTGATGAGGAAATAGATTAAACTGCACTTACATTTTAGAGGACAAGGTAGTCATACAAGTTTGAATGAGAGACTCCAAATTGGAAGCTCCAAATTCGAACTTGTTAGCTATACGCTCGAGATGTTCAAAAGCGATTCTGGAAGCCATTTCATAACCCTCAGCGATCCTAATTGGATGAATTCCTTTTTCCAAGAGTCGCTCAGCTTGTTCAAGAAGAGCTCCAGCCAACACAACCACACCAGTGGTGCCATCACCGATTTCATAATCCTGACTCCTTGAAAGCTCAACCATAAGCTTCGCGATTTGGTTATCAACATCCATCTGCTCCAAGATCGTTGCACCATCATTTGCTGTAAAACAACGAAAAACGACACAGTTTAGAAATAAAAAAAACGAAGCCCTAGATGGATCTGTAAAGAGGGGGAAATGTTAGAAATGAGAAATTGAAGAATTGAAAAATGGAACTGACTGATGGTGACGTCGCCGTCGGGGCTTGAAAGCATCTTGTCCATGCCTTTGGGACCGAGAGATGTTCGGAGAATGCGAGCGACGGCTTTTCCGGCGGAGATGTTAGCTTTCTGAGCATCGAGACCTCTGAGCCTGCTCTTCTGCTCTTGTTCCTTTAGGATTATGAACGGTCTTCCGAACTCGTCGAAAGCCAACGCCATTTCTGATTCTCACAGTCACAGTCACAGTCACAAACTACACTCTCACTCTCTCTTTCTTTGCTTTTCCTCTGTTTGGAACAAAAGCCCTAAACCTAACTCGCTTCTTTCCTTATGCTTCCCACCTTTTTCGGATTTTTCAATTACACATAACCGATTGATAATATGCAGTTGGGCTGGGCCGGTCTGGGCTGGGCTGTCACTGAGTCCGATGCTACCTCTATTCACCAGTTTTTTGCTTTTGTGAAATGCTGTGCTTTTTTTTATTGAATAGAAACTACAATTAATTAGAAACCAAAGAAGAAAACAATTGCATCACGAAAACAAGGTGATAATAGGTATTGAATAAGGATATTGATGATAGAATTGGAGCAACAGGGAACAAAGTGGTATTCTTTTTACAAATTTTTTATCCAAATGTCACGGGCGAACAATATTTTTTATCAGACTATCACGCGACGTAATTTGCTATGATAGGTAGCTATCGCATATGATTTCGTGACACGTGGCCATATTGCGTACCAAATTCGCTATCACTAGTAGCGAATTTCGTCTAGTCAGCTTTTTTCTGCGAAAATATGTCATGTGTCACAAAATCATTTCAAGAGATATTATTTTAATGAGATGTGGTCAGTGTTTTAAAATCTCACCCGCCCCCCAGGTTGACCCGGGTCAACTCTGACCCCTCTCCTCTAAGGGTTGGGGTCATAAGTTGGATCTTATATGCATATCGACCCCATCAACCCCCAAAATCCGGTCGGGTTTCAGTGACTCCCGGGTCAGAGGGGTCAAAGGGGGGTCACTGCATGTTTTTTTCTTTTTTTAAAAAAATTCCATGAAACAACATCGATTTATTGAAAAAATAAAATAAAAATGCTTGTAAACCTAAATCTAATCGTTCTCTTCTCTTCCACCGACCTAGACATCTTCAATCTTCACCTCGTTGCTGTGAATCTTCTAGAAAATGTAAGAATTTTACCCATTCAAATGAAATCCTTATGGTCGTTGAAGGAAAACAAAAACTCATTCTTTAGAATATGAGTTTTGTACTATAGTATCTTGATACTTTAATTAGGTTGTGTAATATTGACTTGTGATTGTAATTGATGAATTATGTTAAGTATATTTTGAATGTTTAATGATTGGTGGTTTATTTTTTAATATATATATATATATATATATATATATATATATAATCGGCGTAGTGATTCAGTAATCCCCGGTTGAACCCGTGGCCCCTGACTTCGGCCGAGTCGATGGCCGAACCAGGTTTTTAAACCCTGGATGTGGTTGTTCTCAAATTTCAGTTCTAAAAACAAATAAAAAAGAAAAATTGTTTTCAAAATCAATTTTACAGAACTCATGTCATCAAACAAGTTTTTTTACTTTTTTATTTTTAAAAACAAAAAACTGTTTTCCAAAACACTTTTACACTAATCAAACACCACACCTGTAGATTAGATTCACACGATTTCTTTTCTCACTCATCCCACCAGATTATAACAACGAAACGTCAAATAGGAAACCCTTTTGATGTGTTGAGATTTCGTCCACAGTGAAATAAATATCCGGCCGGTGATCATTTGCCACAAAGCCTTTATTATATTAGATTGTCCTCTAATCTATTAATGATAGTCTCTTCGTCAAGATTTCCGGTAAAAACTCAACTAGCGTAGAAGAGTATCAATCCTCCAAACAGAATCCTTGAGCAGTCACAGATGAATTCAACTTTACACACACACAAAAAAAGCATAAAAAAGTGATTCACATAAACGCAATTCTAACCTCGACTATTATTTATTAGTGTTACAATTCAATCCCAATGAATGGAACTAGCTACCTCGAAAAGTACCATAAAGGAATGATCTGTCCCAAAACAAATGAAAAAATGTCTAAGTTCATCAAACTCTAAGCTGAACACCAAAATTGCAATTAGCTCAGCCAACGATTAGCCGAAGATTGAATTCTATCTAATCATAAGTACTATCTGGAACCTGGCAACCCAAATGACCCTTTGAAACTGACAACCTAGTGGAGAACTAAGAAATAAAAACTAGAAACGCTTTTTCTCACTGAATATACATATTTTACACCAACTCCTGCCACGTTGGATACAAGTAGGAAGACAGACCAGGAGGTGAACCGAGGATCAAAATAACCGCACATTCATTAAACTTTTTGATCAATAAACTCGATCAGCTAATTCATCCATGGTTCAATACATGCCCTTGAAAACGGGATTTGTCCGGCATATGCTTGCTCCATATTCTTCATATTCTGCCTTTGTATGACAGGCCTGCACATAGGGCCAAAAATTTTAAAATAGGCATTAACAAAGAAACGATTACCAGAAAGAATAAAATGTAGCATATAGGCTAGCATTGCATTAAAATAGGATGGATGTTAGAGGGAGAGAAACAATGAGAAAATTACGGGCTCTTGTAAACGACATGATCACAAGAAAATGTGTCGCAATCCACAAGGATGGCAAACAAGAAATTCTCTCATATTATCACACTGATCCAGTATCATATTTCCAAACCCAGCCAACCATACCATATATTTTGTTACCATGTATGCAATAATTAATTTATTTAACCACATAGTAAAGCATACACATCATTACATCAACTCAAATCCTCAAAGCTAGACGAGAGATATGATGTAATTCTTTTGTAAAAAAATCAAATTTGTATTATCAACAAATAAAAGCATAACCCAATCCTCCAAAATTCTCAGATCAAAGTGGTCATGATCAAAAGAAAATTATGTTTCAAATTTGGAAAAAGTCATAAGCTCTCTCATTCAAAAACTATCCAACACTGTGGAGAAACAAACAGAAAAGCAGAGATTATGGGATGGCAATGTTATGTCAATTTAAACTTTTATGTGTAAGAAAGAAAATTTGACTCAATTATCAATTAGTTCTTCAAGCTTTTCATACCGCAAAAAACTCAGGTGTTGAGGCGAGCACTGAGCCTCCAAACCAAACTGCAAATCTCTGGATGGGATGGCTGACTACATTGACCTCCACTGGATGGGCCTGTGGGCCCCAAACAAAAATAAAAAATAAAAACCAAAGCAAAGCAATAACTAGATAGAGATCAATCTGACATACATCTCAATATGGTCACTTTTTGCATGCGTGATAGAGAGTTTCATATATTTGAATAAGGTTTTAAGTCATTAACTCTTACTTTTATCTCCCCATCAAGACGTGCTTCAGATGCAAGAGCACGAGCATCCACAATTTTCTTCAGATCACGTTGCAATCTCCTATGAAAATCCTTGAACATGGTTGATCCTCCTGACAACACTATGTTCTGAAATTAAATAGAAGAAAATTGTCATGTGATACAAAGTTCCATAATAAAGATCATGTAAAGAGCTTGAATTTATACAATCAGAAAAGAAATATCTGCAGTGAGAACACTTGACACTAATGGACTGTTTCAATGGAGGAATTTGTAGGAGAAGCAAGAGGATGGATTATTTTTCTTTTCAGGTAACATTTCCCTTAGTTGAGAATTTTTCAAAATGAGATAAATAAAATTAGAGATTATCATGTAACCTTTTAAACATCCCTTATTCATTTTTATAAATATTTTATAATTTTCTCAATTTAAAAATGAAAAACTACCCCTCCAAACTCCTCCATCAAAAAAAGCTGAAGTGCTGCATCTAGGGCCAACAAAATAGCACATCCCATGTTAAACATTGAGCCTTAGAAGCTCCCTAATTTTGAGGAAAAGAGTGACTATTCACTAAAGGTTTAAAAGCCAAATTCTTAAAGATATCTTGTTGAAACAGAACATCACAAAATTTAGGCCTCCAAATTGAGCAACCTTACAACTTCTTCTATGTAAACAACACAATGAAAATGAAAATTCATGTGTGGGTGGTACTTCACCTTGTATAATGCTCTTCTTGTGTCAATTGGAGCAGACTGAATGCACTTGTCTATTACAACTGGCAACGGGGTGGTAAAGTCAGAGCTATAAATCTCAGGATTAAAGAAAACCTGCCAAAATCATAGGGATAAGGTTCAAAATTTGTGTTTCAGTCTTTCTCATAAACACACATAGACATATGATGCTCTGATTCCAATACATCTAAGTTTTATTTGAAATTTTGAATCAATATCATGTTTTGCAAATCTCAAAAGCAAAATTCATATAAACATACAAGTATAATAAATTCTCAAAGACCCAAACCAGTACTATTATAGACTAGTTCCACAGTTACTCCAAGGACCTAAGTCTTCCTCAATTCTTCAATAATAATTTATCAGCATAGAAATTGATCATGTAGACATACAATTAATTCATTAGTTCAAATAATGAAAAGAGAAGGTACGACAACGAGTAGATATATATATATATATATCTAATCCAGTACCGCCAAAGAGAGATTCAGGAATTCACAATAGAGAAAGTCTAGAGAAACCATTTAACAAACCTCAGGGCCAAGAAATCGTTCATAGCCAATATCACAAGAATATGGTGCCCCTGTCTTTGGTTTAATGCCTCTCCAATTCTTGATATACTTGGCTGGTTCTTTGTCATGCTTATTAAACTCCTGAATACATGAGAGATATTAAGATATTGTTTAAAAAAGGACAAAGTCCAACAAATGACTTTACATTCCTTATTCCACACAAATGAAAGCAAAATAAAGGAGCACGGAAATTTGGGCATTCAACACTCTAATGCTAGGTGTAAAGAAATGAGAGGCAACAAAACAATTGGCAACACAAACTCCTCAAATGAGTAATCAGTATGGAACTCAGGACAACCTTAACAATGTCAGAGCAGGTGTAGCAATACATTTCCTTCACTTTCCGAGCTACTTCAAAAGAGTCTTCTGGTGGTATATTCTCTCCTCTTTCCTACATGAAGCAATGTCAGACAGTCCGTGGATCTGGATTAGCAAAATGCAGATTGACAATTGGATATGGATTTATGTATTATTACAATCTGTAAGTAGAAGCAAGTTTCATGCTCAGTCTTGGAATAAGTAACCTTCAATACCATTTCATCACCAATTAAAGATGTAACAACAACAAAATTGTCATTAATACATCATAGCATGTTCATCCTTGATAAGCCTTTAAATACTATTGATTCCACCGGCTAGTCTCAGAGGTAAATTGGGAGAACCTTCAACTTGAAGGCCTTTACATCTTACAGATATGAATATTTGGCAACAAACACCAGCACAATAAACTTCCAATTTCATAGCACAAGGATTACCTACCCGCATAAGCTGCTGGACAAAAAGTGTAACATCTTTTCCAGCAATAGGAATTGATTTGATGCTACTTCCAATAACGTAGCCGTCTGCAACTGGCACAACATGAGCAGCCCCATCTCCAACATCCACTACAACTCCTGTCATCTCACACTAAGATGAATTATATATCAGTCTAAAAGGAAAAAAGATTCTTAAAATAGAAGATAAGCTACAGCAAAAAAAGCAAATAAAAAATTATTCATAGCACTTAGCAAGTATCAGCATAATTATACAGAGCCACCTTAACAGTTTATATTCAACACAATGCAGAGGGCTAATAAATTATCAGGTGCAATTTGCATTAAGCCTGTTTGGATTGATGGAAAGGGATGGAATGGAAGGGAAGTGTATGGAATGTCATTAGTTGCCATTGTTTGAATTTGAATTATTTAAAATAGGGCGAAACGGAATAAAACCAGACGGAATCTACTCCATCCAATAACTCTGATTTTCTTCCCCCAATTTGGGAATATGGCATGGAACCAACTTATAGTTTACTAATCTCTTTACCATCATTCCGCTCGCTTCCCAAACAATGGAATAGAAACTGTCATCCATTCGATCATAAAATAAAACTTTCATTCATTCCATCCTATCTCATTCCATTAATCCCCTCCCTTCATTATAGACTCCCTCTTTTCTTCCTTTTTTTTTAATTTTTAGGCAAAACTATAATAAATAATTTTATTCTATTTATTTGGGTTCATAAGGGGGCGAACCGGAGCAGTGATAAAACTATTCTTTCATGACTGAAAGGTCATTGGTTCGTATCCAGGAAACAACTCTTTGCAATTATGTAAGGGTAAGACTGCGTACAAGGATTTCCTCCACCCCACCGACTCTAACTAACTTGGCATAAAAATGTTGTTGATATTGATGTTGAACATAAAAGTTTTTAATTCAGCACTAGGGTTTCTGTTTCACATTTGTTTTTTATGCATCAAAAACTCAAAATTCAGGTGCTGATAAAACAGCCTAGGCATTTTAATTGTATAAATAGCCAGCAATAGCACATTTTTTAATTTTTTTTTTTTTTGAAGAAGCTAAAATAAAGTGAAGGCTTGAAGAATAATCATTGAATTGTATGAACATGGTACGCAACCTTAGATGTTGTGTAGCCAGCAGCAAGAGCAAGCACTGAATTCACGGCAATATAAAGGCCAGGAACATTAAAAGTCTCAAACATGATTTCACCAGTGTACTCGCGACTCTCAGGTGCAGTGAGTGGACTCTCGGTCAAGAGGAAATAATGATCCTCTGGATCGCACCTCAGATAGTTGAAGATACATTCCTGCCAGAACCGTTCCATGGCGTCCCAATTATCAACCTGGCCATGAAGAATCGGATGACTGAGATTGTAAGTGCTGCTAGATCGAGACTTCGAAAGCGCTTCATCCCCGATGAAGAAATCAAGATCCGCCATAACACCTGCGTTGTGCTGCGCGATCCAATTCGCCTTGGAACCGCTCCTCGATTGGTTTAAAAACGACTCGTTAAGAGCAACCACCGTGGGAACAATAAAACACGGCTCAACGTTACCGGCGAAACCCATCTTCGTATACCTAAAACGCGACGTCGTTTTTTTTGAATTAGGGCAGTTCGAGAAACGAAGTGAGAAATTGAAAAAAAAAAAAAAAAAAAAGGGAAACGGAAATGAATACCCGGAGCCGTTATCGAAGACTACAGCGGGACGAGAGGTAGCGAGGTCCATAAGGAAAAGCGTGAATGTTGACGGTGACGGTGGATCTGCTCGTGAGATCCAAGGTATGTTGTAAGGGAGAGGATCATGGTCGTGAAGAGAGAGAGTTGGATCTCACGTGACGGTGGAAGGAGTTGGTGATTGATCTTGATCCTTCACCCATTTCAACGATCATATAAACTGAACAGTGCAGGTCCCATTAACTTCATCGTTGTCTCTGTCTCTGCGTTTCCTTACCAATACAATACTTACTCTTTCTTTCTCAAGTGTCTTTTTTCTTTTTTTCTTTTTTAATTCTTGGAAAAATTTACTTTTTTTATTGTAATATGTATTTTATTAAAGGAAAATTATTCTCTAACGTAGTAAGAGATAATTACCTTTAGGTATATCGATAAACATATTTTGTTGTTTTTTTACTTTTATTTTTGACATATGATAGATTCCATCATATGTTGAATTTTTTTTTTTTTTTTTGATAACAATCATATGTTGAATTTATGGTACAAGGAAAAGTGTAGATTAGATACTCCTTTTATTAAAATATCCAAAATAATATTATTTTGAAATTCAAGAGTTAACTTTAAGGAATAGGATATTTTCTTTAGAGTAAACATCTTTTTTGTCCCTGATAATATCTACGAAATTCTTTTTAGTCCTTGGCAATAAAAAAGGACCAAATTGGTCCCTAAAATTATGAAAAAAGGGCCACATTAGTCCTTATGTCAAATCCTCCATCACTAACGTAGCCCTTTTTACATACTGTTAGGGACCAATTTGGTCCTTTTTTATTGTCAGGGACTAAAAAAGATTTCGTAGATATTGTCAAGGACCAAAAAGGATGTTTACTCTTTTCTTGATATCTTTTCGTACATATTCCACTTATTCATTTTAATACAATTGAATCATAATCCGAAAAAAAAAAAGTAAAAATTAATTAAAATTTGATCTAACGTCACTTCCTATCCTATCCCTACTTTAAACATTTATCCCTTTTTTTTTCTTTGAAAAATGTTATACTCATTATTATTTTTTTATCATCAAATTTTAATTGTTAATTTTTGTCAATTTAACGGTTATAATTTATTAAAATTTAATAATTAATTAATTAATATGACTCAATAAATTATAATTATTAAATTGATAAAAATCAACTATTTAAATTTGATAATAAGATATAGTAAAAAAATATAGCAATTTTCCTCTCCTTTTTCTTTTACTATTTGTTTTTTTTTTTTTTTTTTTTTTTTCAAACATTGGTTTTCTATTTCGGGGCAGGGCCGTGTGATTTGGGAGGGCCTTGTAGGAAAAGAAAATAAGATACTATCACTTGAGTTGGAGGGACCCGCCGAACATGAAAGTCGAGTGGTTTCACTCATGCACTACAACTTACAAGGTGTGTTCTAAGATTCTCTAGTTAGTAGTACGCATAACGAGGCATTTCGGTTTCTCAATCGGATCTTTACCAAATAAAGGAGCTTTACCTTAGCTTAGGGTGACAATTTGGGTTGACCCGCTCAGCCCCGCCACAACCCGTCAAAAATGAAGCGAGACGGGTTGATCCGTCAAAAAATATTGGTTGAAAAAATGAACCCATCTCATTTTTTGGTGGGTTGGCGGGTCAACTCACCAACCCGTCGATTAAAAGAATTAATTAAAATTCAAAAAAATATTATATTTTATGAATTTTTCTAATATTATTTTATTTTATTTTATTTCACACTACTCTACATTTTTTTAGTCTCAATCTTAAATGTATACTAATATTTGTCAAACATTCTTTAGGAATTTATATATAGATAACATTTGTCATAAATAAAATTGATAATCTTTATTTTTTCTAGGAAGTACTAAGATAAAAAAAAAATTTGATATCACAAAAATTTAAGTACTAATGAAATACTACCTAATTGTAAAAAAAAAAAATATTATAACCCGGCGAGTCAACCCACCCCGCGGCAGGTTGAATCCGTTTTGACCCACTTCTAGGCGGGGCGGGTTGAGGTGAGTTGATGGATTGAAAACCTTAACTCAACCCGCCCCGTTTTGGCGGGTTGACCCGCCAAGGCTCGACTCATATTGTCACCCCTACCTTAGCTTAGGCATCGTAAAAAAAAAAAAACTTGGAGACACGGATAATTAGCCATTGACATCGAAAAAAGAAGAAGTCATTCTTCGATTTCAATAGAAAAAACTATTTATTTGTTTATTATTCTTGTTTAGAAGTTTATTAGAATAATAAAGTTGGCCAGCATCAAATTACAGTTTACTTAGTTGTAGAAGGCAAAAAATAATTATTTTTGGGAATCACGATTTCTAAGAATATGTTAGGAAAATAAAATTTCATGAATATTGTCAAAAAAATTATTTAATATGCCAAAATATTTCTAAGAATATTAGCTCAAATTTTTTAATTTTATGTTTAGTTGATTGTCAATCATTATTAAAAATATGGAGTGATTTTATAAAACTACCTTTATAATTCATCATCAAACTAGCCATATTCATTCAAAACTTTTGCAGATCCAACACTGAAAACAAAATTAGCATTCAGTCATATATTCTCAATCGTTCCACAGCGTCTCACATTCTTCGACCTCCTCCACTTCCCTCTCAATAGCCACCTCCCAACCCTCTTCCCCGAAAAATCACTCTCTGACAACTCAATCTCAAACAATCTCAAACTTCTGCCTCAACGCCACTCCACTCATCCACCTCAAAAATTTTCCACCAGGTGGGATTCTAACAATACCACCTACATGGCGATATTCTTTCATGGGATTTTGCTCTACAATTAAATCCTGAAAATTTAAATTTCCCATTAAATTTTTCACGATCCTTATATCAAATATAGGTAAATAGGATTCCTAATATCAATTTTCAATGAATATAAAAAATTTATCCCTCTAACAAATGTCACCTTATATTATTTCATATAACCAATTCAATTTAAAATTTAAATTGTTAGATGAAGACATAAATAATTTTTATATCGTATTCATAACACTTGCTTCTATGGTGATGTCGAAAATGTGAGTGTTTTTATACGAGCTCTTTTAGCAATTTTAGGATTTCTAAAACCAACTAAAACTAATATATTTCCTTGAAAGAATGAAGATAACTCTCATTGCAACTATTAATGTTATTATTCCAATCTTTTGCTTTAATTTTGTACGGATAGTGATACGTAATATGTGTCCGACGAAGGTGAAGTATATTGATATAGGGGTGCTGATAGTGACAATGGTAGAGACCAAAGCATTAATGATGCTTCTCATGTATGTGCATCAAGGGGGAGTGTGTGTGAAGCTTAAATGGATCTACCAAATGACAGAGTAACAACATGGGTAGAGGTTGGAGAAGAAGAAAATCCCCCTTTATGTGTGAGGGGGTATTTAGAGAGGAGAGCCCTCTCTCACGGGGGAGACCGTTCGTCTCTCTTATGAATTGTCTCATCAAGCCATGTCTTTTTTTGAAGATTTGAGACAATACATACATGATGCCCACGGTCAACCTACAGGGACAGTTAGGCTCCAGTGGTGAGCTTCTATGGCTTGCCATGGGTACCATCTGGAATGTTCTAGATATGAGTTTTAAGAGATTAAGTCCATCTAGTGAGCCTAAGGTGTGCATCCAGAACAAATTATATTTATCACAAATTTATAAGCTAGATAACCCAACTCTCATTAATTATATTTATCACAAATTTGTAAGCTAGATAACCCAACTCTCATTATTTTTTTATGTTGGTAGGACGATATAAACAACCATCATTATAAAAAATTAAAAGAATAAAAGTAATAGATTTTACATGCAAAAATATATAATCATACAAGTTTGGTATTTTTATCTGGGACCAAATTGAACTGATTCCGAAAAACAATTTAATTCTTTAGCTGGTTTAGAGAAAATGATTCGGCCCTTAAACTCATTTAAAGAAAAGAAAATGATTAATTATAAGAAAATATTACTCTCATTTTACATGATGTAATTATCTCATGTTATCTCACTTCGAAAATCTCATCCTTTTTTTTTATCATTTAATGGTGGTCCCATATAATTTCTCTATATTACATGAGAGAACTACTTTCATGAGAGTAGGATTCCCCTTAATTATAATGCTGATAGGATTGGTTCACCGTTTATTTTGGTTTATATGATTATTTTTACACACCCCCAGAATGAGGATATTAAAGACAAGGCCTCTTGACTCGAAGTACAAGAGTAAAACTTTAAGTCATGATACTAAAGCTTTACTCAAGTAACATAAATGTTCAATACGTCTCTCAGCACTAAGAGCCCGTTTGTTTGAGCTTCTCAAAAAATAACTTTTATCTCTTCTTTATTTTATAAGTGTTTTTTATAAAAATTAAAGTTATTTATATTTTTATAAATATATTTAGTTTTTGAAAAAAAAATATTTGACTTTTGACTTCTACTTTTCTTAGAAGTACGGGTGTTCATCAACCGATCCAAACCGAATCAAACCGCAAAAATTGAACAGAAAAACTGATAACCGAATAAACCCAAAATCGAAAAATCGAAAACCGAAGGAAAACCACAAATTTTAATTGGATTGGGTCGGTTTTCGAATGGGTTGATGAAAATCGATCTAATCCAAACCGATCCAATATATTAATTATTCTCTACCTATTTGTCTTTTCTCCAATCATAGCCCAAAAATTTCTAAACTCAAGACCCATTAACTCATCAACTAAACCCAAAAAAAAACTTAGTCGCGTCTCATCAACTATAGTATTGTTCACTGATATTTTTGTATTTCAATTTTTTTTTACAAAGCCAATATATACAAAAGATGTTATTTGCACAATAATCATGATACTAATTTTAGGATATTTAAAAAATCGAAAACCTATCCAATCCAAACCGAAAAAAATTGGATTGGATCGGATCGGATTTGAAAAAAAATCTAAACCGGATGGATGATTACCTGATCAAACCGAAGGGATTGGATCGGATGGGTTTTTCTTCCAAAACCGATCCAATCCAGACCGCGAACACCCCTACTTAGAAGTTAAAATTTATAGCTTCTGAAAAAAGTAGATTTTTTGTTTTTTTGTGACTTCTACTTTTTTTTAAAAGCAGACATCTAAGCGAACTAAAAACGAGAAATGCTTTTTTTCTTGAAAAAAATTAGCTTTTGAAGAAAAAAAGCTCATCCAAACGGACCCTAAATAAATAATAATCACAATAATAAAATACAACACCAAATTCTTAAAAATGAGAC